GATGACCAGAGACCGCGGACACAGTACAGGAGATGACCAGAGACTGCAGACACAGTACAGGAGATGACCAGAGACCGCGGACACAGTACAGGAGATGACCAGAGACTGCGGTCGTACTACAGGAGATGACCAGAGACTGCAGACATAGTAAAGTACATGACCAGAGACTGCGGACACAGTACAGAAGATGACCAGAGACTGCGGACACAGTACAGGAGATGACCAGAGACCGCGGACACAGTACAGGAGATGACCAGAGACTGCAGACACAGTACAGGAGATGACCAGAGACCGCAGACACAGTACAGGAGATGACCAGAGACTGCGGACACAGTACAGGAGATGACCAGAGACTGCGGACACAGTACAGGAGATGACCAGAGACTGCGGACACAGTACAGGAGATGACCAGAGACTGCGGACACAGTACAGGAGATGACCAGAGACTGCAGACACAGTACAGGGGATGACCAGAGACTGCGGACATAGTACAGGAGATGACCAGAGACTGCGGACACAGTACAGGAGATGACTAGAGACTGCAGACACAGTACAGGGGATGACCAGAGACTGCGGACATAGTACAGGAGATGACCAAACACTGTGGACTTTTGGGGAGCAGAGGAGGAGGGGGGGAGTGGGTACCCAAATTTGACAGGTATCCGCTCCTACTTTCACTGAGCTGTCCTCCCTCCCCATCTTCTGGGACACGTGACAGGTCCCAGAAGACTGCCGAACCATTCATAAAGCTCAGCACTTGTCGCGCATCCACAGTGGGCACCCGGCTGTGAAGCCACAAGCTGTCACAGCCGGGTGCCCACACTAAAGATGCCGGCCCGGGAGAGAAGACGGTGAGGAAAGAGCTGGACCGAGGAACAGGTAGGACCGAGGAGCACAGAAGAGTCGAGCGCTGGCCTGGTATTCTAACATGGCGGACGGAATTCCAGGCTGGCCGCTCCATATTCGCTTCATAAAACGCACAGACTTTTTCCCCCAATTTTTTTTGGGGAAAAGTGCGTCTTATGGAGCGGAAAATACGATAATTTTTGTCCTTCACTTATGTGCGCTGATGAGGCGGCACTGATGAGGTGGCATGGATATGCAACAATGATTGGCACTGATAGACAGCACTGATGGGCACTGACAGGTGGCACTGATGGGCAGCACTGATGGGTGGCACTGACTGATGGCACTGACTGGCGGCAAAGCTGGGCACTTACTAGTGGCACTGCTGGGCACTGATGGGTGGCACTGCTGGGCGGCATTGATGGGTGGCACTGATGGGGGGGGGACTGATGGGCACTGGTGGGTGGCACTGCTAGGCACTGATGGGCACTAATGGGTCCCACTAATCAGTGCCCTGATGATCGGTGCAGATCCGTCCTCTGACAATTGCCGATTATTGGCAGTACTTTCCTTGCGCAGTGACAGCGTGAGGAAAGTGCAGCCGATAACTGGCGACTGCATTTACCAGTGATCTGCTGTGTCATTGGAAATGGCTGATCACGTGGTAAAAGGCTGCTGTGATTGGCCTTTTACCACATCACGTGATCCATAGTATCCAAAGTATTTTTTAAAGTACTTTCTTCTGAGTAGTTTAATGTTACCATAATAACATTGTACTAATCTGTGGGAGTGATCAGGGATTTTTTTTTACTTACACTTTGCATGCAGAAGCAGCAAAGATTATTGCTCTTGCAATGCAATGCTTGCTTTGAACTGTCAAGAATGGGTTAAGTTCATGACAGCTCAAAATACTAGTGATCTGTGTTTGGATACAGCTAATCACATGGTACAGGATGCTGTGCTTGGCCCATGTATCACAGCCCCTGGCTGTGGGCCAATCACAGCTCACCAGGAGGGGAGCAAAGCTGTTATGAATCAGACTGATTCATAGCAGCTTTTCTAGCACATGATCACTGGGTCCTGATTACAAGGATCCGCATTCCGATGTGTGCCACTTGTGCAGCACCCCCCTGTGTTAGTACAGCCAGAGTGATGTACAAGTACATTTGTGGACTCTATAATTTTCCTATAGACTAAATAATATACACTGGGTTACTGCTTTTACCAAAGAAATGTAGCAGAATATAGAATATTTTGGCATAAATGTATGAAGAAAGATTATTTATTTGCAAAATTTTATAACAGAAACAAAGAAAAATATGGGTTTTCTTTCAAAATATTCAGTATTTTATAATTTATTTAGCAAAAAATAAAATACCCAGTGGTGATTAAATACCACCAAAAGAAAGCTCTATTTGTGTGGGAAAAAAAGATAAAAATTTCATATGGGTACAGTGTGACCACACAACTGTCATTCAAAATGTGACAGTGTTGAAAGCTGAAAATTGGGCTGGTCAGGAAGGGGGTGACAGTGCCCAGTGAAGTGGTGAAAGGGAAGCTCTGTGGGAAAATGTATACTGCTTATACTGCATATGCCTTTTTGTTTTGCCTTGGCATACACTTTAACTGAAAAAGACAAGATTATCAAGACAACCAATAAATATTCCAAAAGGTTTGAAAATGCTGGCATATCTCATTTTTTAAATTGGACAATGTAAAATCTATAATTGATATTGTCTTAAAAATATTCCAGTAATATTTATTATCAATTGGCTAGTCTTAATAATATTTTCTGTATCAATTTGTAATCAATATTTAAAAAGTTAGGCATTATTTGTGTACAATGTATTTGTATGAGGAAGACAAATCACAACCAACCATTCTCTAACTGCCACACATTACAGTTTTGAGTTTCAGCTATTAAATACTGTATATTGACTTGTTTAAGAAAGCAGACAATGCTAGTCTGTTAAATGTGAGATGGGGACTAGAGCTTTACCAGTTGCCTGGAAATAAATAATATTACATATTTATATGCAGATTTTTCTTTTTTCTTTTTAGTATTTGTGTGTGTGTGTGTGTGGTCAGGGGAAATTAGTATTACATTAAATTAAAGATTGAGAGGAACATGCAGGATACCATTTCTGACTTCCATTTGTGAATATTAGTTGCTTGGATCTCCAGGGATCAGTGTTTTCTGAGTCACTGACCCAGAACTAGTATGCAAAAAAAGTTAAGTCAGAAGTCCTTGTCTGTGCACTTAAAAATTAATATAGTGCAGTGCAACCTCAAATGATTAATCAATGAATCCAATACATTATATTAAAGTCCAAAAAAAAAGAAAAACCTCAGTCACCACTATGATCATAAAATTGTGTCATATCTTGTTTCTAAATAAAAGGTGCTCTTCGTGTTTGGACCACCAATGAAACAATGGCTGCTCAACTTAGAGAAATGACCCCCATCCATTTTCAGGAATAAAAATACATTCAAATGAATTTTAATGCACACAGACATCATATAATGTCTATTTCTTGGTACAATCAAATAATGAGGTTTGTAATACGTACCTAGATACCAAGCATCAAAATTGTGAAATGGGATGATGAATAAGTGTCAAATAGGTGGCACTTTAAAAGCATTTCCAGTTGCTAAGTTTACAGTTAGGCATGAATTATGGCTCTAAAATTATTGCCATCAGTCTAGTGTGTACAGTGATAGCTAATATTGTTTTTTGTATGCTTTTCACATGCACACATGGCTCCCGTATTTGTGTACATATGGGTGTTTATGTATTTTATTTTAATATTTAAAACTTTTTTTAAATAAAAGTACTGCCATCACAAGGGGGCTGATAAGTTACCTATGTGATAGCATAGTGTAGGGACAGGTTCTGATTAACTAGACATGTGGGATCTATTAGACCAATCACTGGCAGGGGGTGGCACCTTACCATACACGTGAAATGGATCGGGTGACTTTAAAGCCACCTGAATGATGTCCACAAAAAAGCCTTGAGCTGGCTGAACAGCTACAGAGCTACATGCTGCTGTCTTGTTGGTACTTCCATTTCTGGGACGGTGGCCATCTCAGTGAGTGCACTTCTATTATTTTAATGCTGTTGCTGGATATGATTTTTTTTTTTTATTTTAAAGCTTTATATGGTATGTAAATTACTTTTTAATATTTACTTTTACTTTTTACTGTAACACAACATTGATCCTTTTAATAAAATACTACACTATGTAGGCCTGTTGTGGCTCTGCTTGGTGAGCTTTTTTTTTCACCCGCCTCTCTTAGTGTGGGTGGCTTTCTGAAGAGGAGGTTTGCTCTGCTTCTATAACTGAGAAAGTCTTACAGAGGTAGTTGGCTTTAATGTGTTGTTTGCTGCTTACACTCATGCAGCTTGGAAGTTGGTGAGTGTGCACTGACGGTTGCTGAATAACACAGCGGTGTCATTGTCCTTTCTTTGGCGGAAGAAAAACACAGACACGTAGATTTATTCAGTGGACTTTTTTTTACTACATTACATGATATTTGTTCTTAAACAGACTGGGCTCCATTCACTAAATCAGATTGCATGAGGTATTTAGGTGATCTGACACATATTTCCCAAATATTGCAGTATTGAAAATGTCAATTAACTATCACCCTAAGCAGTATTTACCTCAAAAAGCAAAAACGGTTGATAAATAGCTCATAGAACAGCGTTAAAGTCAATTCACTAAAATAAATAAAATAAATGTATGAGTAAATAAGTAATGGTCCAAGCATGTGGTATTTAACCGCCTCCCACCCCCATTATAAGATAATGACAGGCGCAAGGCGGTTCTCTCGTCGTTATGGTAGGACATCATATGACGTTCCCACTCTAAATGCACGTGCGTGGCTCCGGGGGCAGTCAGCGCGGCGATCGGTGGTGTGCTGTGTCCCTTGGACACAGCAGATCACCGATCAACGGAAAGAGCCGAAGACGTCGGCTCCAATCACAGCTAATCGCATGTAAGTAGGGAAATGCCGGTTATCAGCATTCTCTCCTCACGAGCTGTCACGCTGACAGCTCGTGAGGAGAGGAGAGCCGGTAATCGGCATTCCTCAGAGGGGACATGTACACTGATCATCAGTGTGCCCTGATGATCAGTGTTTCCCAGCAGTGCCATCTGTCAGTGTCCATCAGTGCCAGCTGTCAGTGCTCATCAATGCCACCCTGCCAGTGCCCATCAGTGCCATATCAATGCAAAATATTAATGCCTAACAGTGCACATCCATGCCACATATCAGTGCTCATCTGAGCTGCCTTTCAGTGTCACCTATCAGTGCCAGTCAGTGCCACCTATCAATGCCAGTCAGTGCCACCTATCAGTGCTGCCTATCAGTGCCAGTCAGTGCCACTTATCAGTGCTAGCCAGTGCCACCTATCAGTTCCCGTCAGTGCTGCCTATGAGTCCTGCCTAATAGTGCCAGTCAGTGCCACCTAACAGAGCCAGTCAGTGCAGCCTATCAGTGCTAGTCAGTGCTGCCTATAAGTGTCACCTATCAATGCCGCCTATCAGTGCCATATATGAGTGCTGCCTTTCAGTGCCCATCAGTGATGCCTGTCAATGCCCATCAGTGCCACCTACCAGTGCCTCCTCATAAGTGGCCCATCAGTGCCACTTATCAGTACCCATCAGTGCAGCCTATCAGTGCCATCACTGCAGCCTCATTAGTGCACATCAGTGAGGGAGAGAAAAATCACTTATTTTACAAAATATTATTAAAAAAAATAAGAAAAAATGTGGGGTTTTTTTTCAAAATTTTCAGTTGTTTTTGGTTTGTTTAGCAAAAAATAAAAAAACCCAGAGGTGATTAAGTACCACCAAAAGAAAGCTCTATCTGTCACAAAAAAAACAATAAAAATGGCATATGGGTACAGTGTTGCATGAAGGCGCAATTGTCATTCAAAGTGTGACAGTGCTGAAAGCTGAAAATTGGCCTGGGCAGGAAGGGGGTATAAGTGCCCTGTAGGCAAGTGGTTAAGGAATGTAAAAATATAATAGCCAATCTTGCATAGTCTCTACCTTTTTGGATCATTTCTCTCAACAATAATGCATAGAAACCTAAATACGGGAAAAAATACAGAATCATTGGGGGTTAATTTACTTAAACTGTAACTAAAGGCAAACTTTTTTTTAGTTTTGAACAGAGTGGAGATGGATTAGAACACCGTCAGGTTTTTTTTGCTGTCTGTATTTCTGTTAGGAGATTCGCCCTAACTGATAATGTTTACTATTTTCATTAAAAAGTGAAAGTACGGTATTTTTCACTTCATAAGACACACTTTTTACCCCCCAAAACATTGGGGGAAATGTCTGTGCGTCTTATGGAGCGAACATGGAGTGGCTGGCCCAGTATTTTCCCCGTTGCCGCCATGTTAGAATACCGGGCAGGCCGCTCGGCTCTTCTGTACAGCAGAACCTACTCCTCGGTCCTACCTGTGCCATTGGTCCAGCTGTGTCCTCATCACCTCATCATCTTTAGTGTGGGCACCCGATTGTGACAACTTGCGGCTTCACAGCTGGGTGCCCACTGCGCATGCGCGAGAAGCGCTGCACTTTATGAATGGCCCCGTAGTCTTCTGGGACCCGTCACATGTCCCAGAAGACTATGGGGAGAGAGGGGAGAGAGGTGATCGCAGCTGAAGTGGGAGCGGGTACCTGTCAAATTCAGGTACCCCCCCCGCTCCCCAGAGGTCTGCAGTCTGTGGTCATCTCCTGTACTGTGCCCGCAGTCTCTGGTAATCTCCTGTACTATGTCCGCAGTCTCTGGTCATCTCCTGTACTATGTCTGCAGTCTGTGGTCATATCCTGTACTGTGTTCGCAGTCTCTGGTCATCTCCTGTACTATGTCCGCCATCTCTGGTCATCTCCTGTACTATGTCTGCAGTCTCTGGTCATCTCCTGTAGTATGTCCGCAGTCTCTCTGGTCATCTCCTGTACTATGTCCACAGTCTCTACTCATCTCCTGTACTATGTCCGCAGTCTCTGGTCATCTCCTGTAGTACATCCGCAGTCTCTGGTCATCTCCTGTAGTATGTCCGCAGTCTCTGGTTATCTCCTGTAGTATGTCCGCAGTCTCTGGTCATCTCCTGTAGTACATCTGCAGTCTCTGGTTATCTCCTGTACTAAGTCTGCAGTCTCTGGTTATTTCCTGTAGTATGTTCGCAGTCTCTGGTCATCTCCTGTAGTACATACACAGTCTCTGGTTATCTCCTGCACTAGGTCTGCAGTCTCTGGTCATTTCCTGTAGTATGTTCGCCGTCTCTGGTCATCTCCTGTAGTACATCCGCAGTCTCTGGTTATCTCCTGTACTAGGTCTGCAGTCTCTGGTCATTTCCTGTAGAATGTCTGCATGTCTGCAGTCTCTGGTCATCTCCTTTACTATATCTGCAGTCTCTGGTCATCTCCTGTACTATATCTGCAGTCTTGTCATCTCCTGTAGTACATTCACAGTCTCTGGTCTGGTTCCTGTACTATATCTTCAGTCCAATGGTTCAAAATATATGTTTTCTTGTTTTGTTGCGTCTTATGGTCAGGTGCGTCTTATGGAGCGCAAAATATGGTAAATGAAAATCCCAAATTTTGGGTTGTCCCCAGAAAAGTAATAGATGAGAAATCTTCCAATGGTTCCACTACTGGTTCTGGTGACTTGGGGGTCCCAATGGATTCTTTTAATTTGTACAATTTTCCTCTCACTTCTTGCTTTGGCTATGGGACAGGAAGGGAAGATATATCTTCCCAATAGGACACAGATAGCAAAAAAAAAAAAAAAAAAAAGGGTTATAAACCTGCCCTTACTCTATCAAAAAAAGGAAAAAGTTTTGCCTATCGTTCTACTTTAAGGCAAATAGACTGTGCACTTTGCAAGTTGCTCCTTAGTAATGAGGGTAAATCTTCACTTTACAAAGAATAAACAATCACATGCAAGGAAAAAATGCATGTTTGCTTGTACATGATTGGATAATGGAAACCAACAGAGCTTCCCTTCATTTACTAAGCTCTGTAGTAAAATATATTTATTTCCTCCTGTAATTTTGCCAGATTTTCAGAGAATTTTGGGGTATATACAAGCATATACATCGATTGCTGCATAATACAATATGCATACATATTACAATGGTCTAATACCTTGTTAGAACACATTGTACACTATATTGCCAAAAGTATTGGTCACCCCTCCAAATCACTGGATTCAGGTGTTCAAATCACCTCCATAGCAACAGCTGTATAAAATCAAGCACCTAGCCATGCAGACTGCTTCTACAAACATTTGAGAAAGAATAGATCGCTCTTAGGAGCTCAGTGAATTCAAGCGTGGTACCGTGATAGGTTGCCACCTGTGCAATAAGTCCATCCATGCAATTTCCTGGCTACTAAATATTCCACGGTCAACTGTCAGTAGTATTATCACAAAGTGGAAGCAACTGGGAAAAACAGCAACTCAGCCACAAAGTGGTAGGCCATGTAAAATGACACAGGGGGTCAGCTCATGCTGAAGCGTTCAATACACAGAAGTCACCAACTGTCTGCATAGTCAATAGATAAAGACCTCAAAACTTTGTGTGGCCTTCAGATTAGTACAACAGTGCATAGAGAGCTTCATGGACTGGGTTTCCATGGCCGAGCAGCTGCATCAAAGCTTTACATTACCAAGTGCAATGCAAATTATTGGATTCAGTGGTGTAAAGTATGTGTTCTCTGGAGTGACAAATCACACTGCTCTGTCTGGCAATCCAATGGACGTGTCTGGGTTTGGCTGTTGCCAGGAAAACAGTACTTGCCTGACTCCATTGTGCCAAGTGTAAAGCCTGGTGAAGGGGGGTTATGGTGTGCTGTTGTTTTTCAGGGGTTGGGCTTGGGCCCTTAGTTCCAGTAAGGGAAATCTTAAGGTGTCAGCATACCAAGACATTTTGGACAATTTAATGATCCCAATTTTGGGGGAACAGTTTGGGGATGGCCCCTTCCTGTTCCAACATGACTACACACCAGTGCACAAAGCAAGGTTCATAAAGACATGGATGAGCAAGTTTGGGGCGAGGAACTTGACTGGACTTGTCCTGACCTCAACCCGATAGAACACCTTTGGGATGAATTAGAGCAGAGACTGCGAGCCAAGCCCATCCTACAGACTAAGACTGGGATGCCAGGGGTAGCATTGGCAACTATCATCTTGGCCAAAGTAAATGTCTGCGAGCAATATCTGTCTGTACTATCACCCATCCCATGTATGAATGCTAATTCACTCTGCACTGCTATATGGTAAATGTCTGCGAGCAATATCCATCTGTACTATCGCCCATCTCATGTATGAATGCTAATTCACCCTGCACTGCTATATGGTAATCTATACTGCTTTTAAAATCTACCTCTAACTGAAGCTGATTCATAACTATCAATGTTCTTATTGGTCATTCTTACTGCTTCAAAAATCTTTAACTCTGGTCCATATTACTGTGGTGTTTATTTTGCTCTTATTGTCTAACCCAAATTTATGAGCTGATCCTAATCTTTACAACTCTGCCCTCCTGCATTCTTGTTTTCTCTTGTAGTCCTCCTTTGGTGTGAGAAGTTTGCCCTGCTAGCCATGTGTCTCTACTATGCATTCCTAATTGATTAATTGGCAATACCCCCACCCAACTCAATCTAAATTTAGGCCAGGGGTAGCATTGGCAACTATCATCTTGGCTAAAGTATTCATCTTGGATTAAGTATTGAGCATTGCACCTCGGTTCTGCCCTTCAGCGAATGCACAAAGCAAGAAGCAAACAACTTCAAATACTGAACAGACTACAGGTGACCTGTTTCCCCATCCAGCTCTTTTAGCTCTTATCCAGTTTGCTTCTTCATCTCACCACTCTGTAACATGCACTCCCTACTCCTCCTTCTCACAGTTGTATCCTCTATCTTCAAACTCTCTCTCCTTCACTCCTCTTCTCCACCCCACAACTTATATATATCACCATCACTCCTGTCTTCACCTTACTACTGTACTCATCAACTCCTGCTAATTCTGAACCCACATACTAATAAAATCTCCAGGACACTGGAACCTGTCCCTCCACATGTCATACTCTCATATTACCTCCCTCACCCTTCTGCTTCTCCTAACATCTGGAGACAATTCCCCAAATCCTGGACCGCCATATTTTTCCTTTGATCAACACTCAAATCAAATCTCAGCCCGGTCCTGCCCCAACATGGCCACTTCTGTATACAATAGTTCACTGTCATCCACCATGGACACATTGACCCCCCTCACTACACACAGAATTAGGCCCCAACCGCTACAGCCCTGGCAAATAGACAATACCAGATGCCTCAAAAAACATAGCTGTGCGCTTGAGCATTTATGACGTAAGACTAAGACCCAGCAAGACTTCGCCCAATATAAATCTGCCCTTCAAACATACAATTCTTGTCTCCACACTGCCAAACAGACCTATTTTATCACTCTCATTAACACCCTCTCACACAATCCCTTTCAACACTTTTCTACCTTTAACTTTCTACTTTATCCTTCTGTACCTCCACCCACTAACTCACTCACTGCCCAGGAGATTGCTAATCACTTAAAAAATAAGATTAATACAATGCGTCATGAGATTTCCACTGTACAGATATCTCCCTCACCCTACACTCCTTACCCACCTGGTAAACTTTTTTCTAAAGCCCACCTAACCACCTGCCCCCTGGACCCTGTTCCCTCGCAAATACTACGGTCACCCTCTGACTCTATCCTTCATTCTTTAACTCATATCTTCAATCTCTCCCTTTCTACTGGCATCTTCCCTAACTCTCTAAAACATGCGCTAGTCACCCCCATACTTAAAAAGGCCTCACTGGACCCCACCAATCTTAGCAATCTAGGACCCATCTCCTTACTCCCTTTTGCCTCCAAAATCCTTGAACGTCTAGTCTACAACCGGATGAGCTGCCACCTTATTGAGAATAACCTTCTCGATTCCCTTCAGTCTGGATTTCGCCCACAACACTCCACAGAAACTGCTCTTCTAAAACTCACAAACGACTTACTAACCGCTAAAACCAATGGTCACTATTCTGTACTCTTACTCTGGACCTCTCCGCTGCCTTTGACATAGTTGACCACCCCCTCCTCCTCAAAAAACTCTATTTACTTTTTTGTCTGTGACTGTACTCTCCGTTGGTTTGAATCTTACTTATCTCACCGCACCTTCAGTGTCACTTACAAATCTACTTCATCTTCTCCTACTCCTCTTACTGTCGGGGTCCCCCAAGATTCTGTCCTTGGGCCTCTTCTGTTCTCAATCTATACTTCTTCCTTGGGTCAGCTGATAGCTTCCCATGGTTTCCAATACCATTTCTAATGACACACAATACCATTTCTGATGACACACAAATCTATCTCTCTACTCCTCAGCTCACCCCATCAGTTTCCTCACGTATCACCGATTTACTAGCAGACATATCAGACTGGATGTCACACCACTTCTTAAAACTCAACCTATCCAAAACTGAGCTCATAATTATTATTATTATTATTATTACTACGAGTTTATATAGCGCCAAAGGGTTTGCTCAGCGCTGTACAATAATATTTCTTCCCCCACGTTCCTCTTCCCCTGATTTCTCGGTCAAGATCAATAGCACCATTATAAACCCATCCCTGCATGCCAGGGTGCTAGGGGTATCTCTGGATTTGGAACTATCCTTTCAGGCTCACATCCAATCCCTGTCCAAATCATGCCTCAACCTCCACAACATCTCCAGAATACACCCCTTTTTAACCAATGATACCACAAAGCTCCTAATTTACTCCCTGGTTATCTCTTGCATTGACTACTGCAACTCCCTCCCCCATTGGCTTACCTTTACACAGGCTACCCCCCCTCCAGTCCATTATGAATACTGCTGCCAGTGTCTGCTACCCCTCTCTGCCAATCCTTCCATTGGCTTTCACTCGCCCAACAAATAAAATCCAAAATACTAACAACAACTTACATAGCCATCCACAACTCTGCTCCCAGCTACATCACCAGCCTGGTTTCAAAATATCAACCAAACCGCTCTCTTTCAATCCTCCCAAGACCTTCTGCTCGCTAGTTCCCATGTCACTTCCTCCCATGCTCGCCTCTAGGACTTCTCCCGAGCTTCTCCCATCCTATGGAACTCCCTACCCCAATCTGTCCGGCTATCTCCTAATCTATCCATGTTTAGACGATCCCTGAAAACCTTTCTCTTTAAAGAAGCCTATCCTGCTTCTACCTAGTAAACTGCCATTTATTTCATCCATCAGTTCATCCCCCCACAGCTATTACCTTTTGTATCAGTCAACCCTTCCCCCTAGATTGTGAGCGCTAATGAGCAGGGCCCTCTGTTTCCTCTTGTACCAAATTGTATTGTCACTGTAATGTCTACCTTTATTTTGTAAAGTGCTGCGCAAACTGTTGGTGCTATATAAATCCTGTATAATAGAAATAATAATTAAAGTTCATGTGCGTGTAAAGGCAGAAGTCCCAATACTTTTGGCAATATAGTGTATATATGCAC